AGGCACCGAGCCCATGCCAAGTCTTATAGACAGTAGAAATAGAAATACTTCAAAATCATTCTTCTTAGTCTGGATACCCCTGATAGTAAAATTAGAAAAAAATATATTATTATAAAGGAGAAATTACAGACACATTTCACTGATGAATAAGGATGCAATATGATAAACAACGTATTGACATGTTGGATTAAAAATTGATGTTTAATATACGTTAATCAAAATTAAATCCAATTTGTGTGAGAATTAGACATTATTTATATATATATATTTTTTGCCCACACCCCCTCACTCCTTCTCAGTCTGATCTCCCCTTCCCCCATGCCCCACCATGTCATTAATTGTCATTAATTGTCTTCATATCAAAGTTGAATACATAGGATTCTTCTCCATTCCTGTGATGCTTCACTAAGAATAATGTGTTCCACCTCCATCCAGCTTATTACAGATGCTGTAAAATCTTCATTTTTTTGATGGCTGAATAATACTCCATAGTGTACATATACCACTAGTAGCTTTTTCATTCACCTTTTTTGTAGATGCAAGAAGAAGGTTCCAGCTAGCAAGCGTTTCACCATTCATAGGACATCCAATGTCTTAACCCTTTCCTTGAAGCGTTTTGCCAACTTCAGTGGGGGGAAGATCACCAAGGTAAGCGTTCAGGGCAGTGTACCCTGCTGCTCAGTGGGCCATGGTTGACTTCAGAATCACCTGGCTTGCTTTTAAGAAATATATATTTCTAGCTCTACCCCTGATCCAGTGACTTTGAATCTCTGGAAAATGTGGCCTAGGAATCTGCACTTTTGTAGAATCCCTAAATGATTGTTATGCACAGTTTTGAGAGTTAGCGTCTTACTGGGTTTTCCCCCCAACCTGCCTGTACAAGGGGGCGGGGGCTCCTGACTTGTGAGTGCAGAGTGGGTTTTCTGCATGAGTGTAGTGATCACTGGACTGTGAGCTCTGCTCTGCCACATCCTGCTTTATGTCCAGGACAGGTAAAAGTGCATGCTGTGGCTTCTCATGGATGATAGAGCAGAAGAGCTACAGCATTTTAGTAAAGGATGTGTGTGGCGTAAGAATCTGGTTCTGCTCTTAGAGCTCGGCTGTGTAGTTTAGAGCAAGGCACTTGTCTGTGCCTCGATTTCCTTCCTTGCAGAGGTGGGGGCTTGCGTAGATTAGCACTACCCAGATGTGTCTGCGTGGTGTCTCACGTTACACAGTCATGCACTGGTTAGGCAGCTGGGGAGCATCATGGAGGGCACTTGCACAGTCTGGGTGGTAGAGCCTGTTACACACCCAGTATTTGGGCATATAAACACATCTAAATAGAAAAGGAACTGTAAAAATACACTATTACAATCTTACAGGGCCACTGTTGTTTATACAGCTTATTGATTTAAATGTCATCGTGAGGTGCATATAATTGTTTTTTTAAAAAGGATTTGTGTTCAAACCTAGCCCTGCCCCCCCCCAAATTGCATTAAAAAGAAAAAGGGGTGGTGGTGCCTATGGCTCAAAAGGGTAGGGCGCTGCCCCATATGTCAGAGGTGGTAGGTTCAAACCTAGCCCTGGCCAAAAAAAAGGATTTGTAGGTATAGGCATAAATGCAGGTGAATCTCCTGTCATTCAAAGAAAAATTTTAAAGGATGTATTTTTCTACCCCAAGTTGTCAATTTTGGGGATAAATACATTTTGGTATGACTTCTACCTTTGTTCTTACTCAGCTCGTAAAGCCTTGACTTACTGTAGCAGTTACCTGTATCGATTCAGTACCTTGGTTTCTGAAGACCAGCAGTGCCCCTGTAGTGAGGAGGGAAGGAAAACGGTTCATTCTTCTCATTTTACAGTTGGGTGCCAGGTAGTGTGAGAGAAGAGACAAGAATGGATCAGAAGTCATTTGATGGGACAGCAAAATATGGTTTCCCATAAAGAGGAAAGGCTCGCTTCTCAGCATCTTGCTCTGGAATCAGCACCCAGGACACTCACACCACAGCCATGCTGCATTTCCAGTTACCCAGATTAGAAAAGCCCAGCTGAATAGGGCATTACATGCAGCTGTGGATGGAAAAGGGAAATTGACTCTTACTCTCAGAGATGAATTTTATTTGCCTTTTCATTGACTTTCAAACAGGATGTGGGCTACCCAGAGTTCCTGAACATACGCCCGTATATGTCCCAGAATAGTGGTGAGCCGGTCATGTATGGGCTCTATGCTGTCCTGGTCCACTCAGGCTACAGCTGCCATGCCGGGCACTACTACTGCTACGTGAAGGTGAGGGCCTGCATTCTGGCCAGCTGCGGTGGGTGGCAGGCACACTCTGCCCCAGGGGTGGGTCCGCAGTGCTCTTGCAACTCCAGGTTGGCGTCTGCAGAGCACTTCTGCTATGGGAAGAGGCGATGTTTGGTGATTGTGTTCAGGTCATATTCTTGCTCTCATGAGAACTGTCCCACTGGAATCTTAGCATTCTTGGACTTGCAGTGAGACAATGGAGAGTAGTTGCCTCAAGTGCCTTGTCCTTAAAATCCTAAGGACACCTTGGTAAAAGCTGAATGTTGGTGGAGATGTCCTAAATGTCCTTTAGAAAGGACAGTTCACATCTCTTGGGGTATTAGGAAGGCACTGTGACTTAAACAGTTGGGGTCATGTTCAGGGTTGTGCAAATATTACATATTTTAATACGAAATCTCTGTTGGTTAATTAGCATGTGGACCTATATACTAACAATAGATTTTTTTTCATTCCCTTTTTAAAAAGTGAGGATAATGGGATGTTTGTTGATTGTCTTTTCTGCAACACCCTGTGCTGCTTCAGGCGAGCAACGGGCAGTGGTACCAGATGGACGACTCCCTGGTCCACCCCAGCAGTGGCAAGGCGGTGCTGAGCCAGCAGGCCTATGTGCTGTTCTACCTGCGGTAACAGACTCACGCCCTTCCCAAATGAGCTCCCTCCTTTTCTCATTCTTTCCATGTACCAGTGGGTGTCCTTAACATTTTTCTGTCTAAGGTATTTGGGGAAATCCTTGGGCTGTCTCCCCAGTCATGTGTGGTGGAGAGTGTCACTGGGGGGACCCTTTGTAGGTCAAATCTACCTGGTTATCGAGCTAAAGCCAGAGCCTTGGGGAAGCTCAGGACAGAATATCGTGTGCCCCACACTGGTGCGACTTTGAGTGCAAATGGGAAAGCATCCTAAAGTAGCTGTGTGGCTTCTTGATGGCAGCCAGCCAGTGTGTTGGCCCTGCAGGCAGGGCAAGAGGGAAGGTGTTGGTGGGGAGCACCTTGCTGGGGGTTGGAGGATGTGGTAGTGGTGAGGCTTTTTACTCTTTCATACTACTTAACTGAGTTTGGAGGAAGCATTCGAGAGGTCTCTTTTGCTCTCTGGTATGCTGAGCATGTACTCTGGGAAGGGCTCTATCTGTGACGTGTTCTGTGCAGAACAGAACCACATCACAGCTTCATAGTGGTCGAAGGGGAAAGAGAGAGTCCGGAGAAGTGGAATGGAGGGGTCAAGTCTCCCTCAGGCTATTTCTGCCTTTAAAAATGTAATGGGGGGGCCACCTATGGCTCAGTGGGTAGGGTGCCAGGCCCATATACCGAGGGTGGTGGGTTTGAACCCGAGTGTTGTGGCTGGCGCCTGTAGGCCTAGCTACTTGGGAGGCTGAGGCAAGAGAATCGCCTAAGCCCAAGAGTTTGAGGTTGCTGTGAGCTCTGATGCCACAGTACTCTACTGAAAGGGACAGGGTGAGACTCTGTCTCCAAAAAAGAAAAAAAAATGTAATTGGAACCTTGGCTTTAACTTACTCTGATTCTTATCTTCCATTTCTATAATGCTTGGTTAGCTTTGGTAAAAGGATTTCCCTGACTTGTTTTCTTCTTTTGACAGAATTCCAAGGTCTAAGAAAAGTCCTGAGGGCCCTGTCTCTAAAACAGTCCACTCCCTTCCTAGCCGTCCGGGTGTAGCTCCCGATCACACCAAGAAGAATGCTGGCAACGGGATTGTTTCCTCCCCACTGACTGGAAAGGTACTTGTTTGAAATGATCAAGGCCAGTGCAGCCAGTCTTTGGGCTCCTCTGCAGACCTCTGGTGCTGGGATCTTGGCCACACGGGGAGAAATCTGTGGGCAGTGTGTGCTGTTTTTTTTTTTAGTCACTGGTGTTTCTTAAGATGGTCATCAGCTGACACTGCGTACAGAGAAAGAAGGGACAGTGATGAGAAAACCTGATTAAAACTATAAAGGAGGCCCAGCGGTTGTAGCTCAGCAGCTAAGATGTCAGCCACATACACCAGAGCTGGCAGGTTTGAATCCAGCCCAGGCCCGCCAAACAACAATGACAACTACAACCAAAAAATAGCCAGGCGTTGTGGTGGACGCCTGTAGTCCCAGCTACTTGGGAGGCTGAGGCAAAAAGTCACTTAAGCCCAGGACCTGGAGGTTGCTGAGAGCTGTGATGCCACAGGCATTCTACCCAGGGCGACAGCTTGAGGCTCTGTCTCCAAAAATAAATAAATAAATAAAACTATAAAGGAAATTAAAACTATAATTCACAGGTACGTTCTGATCGTTGGACTGGCTGCCATTCAGAAGTGCCATGACAAATTTGCCACACAAACTCTTTAACTTTAAACATCTGGGAGGAATATACTCATTTTAACATTGTTATTGGCATTAATGTCCTGATTTTGGTACTTATGCTGTGGTTATGTCAGAGAATGTCCTTGTTCTTAGGAAATGATATGGACCTATTTTGGGAGGGGTAAAGGGACATCAAGTCTGCATTTCGGCTCAGCGCCTATAGCTCAACTGGCTAAGGCGCCAGCCACGTACACCTAAGGTGGCGGGTTCGAATCCCCAGCCCGGACCCGCCAAACAACAATGACGGCTGCAACCAAAAAATAGCCGGGCGTTGTGGCGGGCGCCTGTGGTCCCAGCTACTTGGGAGGCGGAGGCAGGAGACTCGCTTGAGCCCAGGAGTTGGAGGTTGCTGTGAGCTGTAATGCCACGGCACTCTGCCCAGGGGGACAGCTTGAGGCTCTGTCTCAAAAAAAAAAAAAAAAAGTCTGCATTTCAGTGAGATGGTTCAGAAGTGTGCACATGATGCTGTAAGTGCATGCACGCGTGTTCATGCACATGTAAACACCCAGCTGTGTGGAGAGAATGGTGGAGCTTTTGTGGGAAATTGTAATAATTAGGGAATACCCTTAAAGTTATCTTTGCGTGTGTTTGAAAGTTTCTGCTAAGACTTTTAAGAACTCAATTTATGTGGTAGGTGCTTGTACTCCCAGCTACTTAGGAGACTGAGGCAAGAGGGTCACTTGAACCCAGGAGTTAAAAGTTGCTGTGAGCTAGGCTGATGCGACAGCACTCTAGCCTGGGCAACAGAGAGGCTCTTTCTCTAAAAAAACCCCAACTCAATTTATGAGTAGGGAGCAGTTTCCTCATTGCCACGTGACTGATCCTTTAAAGCTTGATGGGCCCTCTCAGTGACTTTCCGTGGGATCCTCTTCCTCTTGCAGACTGAAGAGTTGAACCACACATGGGTAGTCAGAGTCTCTTAAGATCTGTAGGGGTTTTAATCATTTACATAAATCTGTGTCCCTTCTATCTTGAATAAAATGGAAGCTGAAATTAGAAGCATTGGCATTGAAGTAACAATTAAAATGCATGATCTGATTGCAAAGTTGGTGGTCACTACAGGCCAGACTAGGAAGTTAGGAAGCCTTCCTCACTGCACAACCTCTGAGGGGCACAGCATTATGGCCAGCGGTAAAGGTGGGCTCACTGAGAGTGTCCCTGGTTAGGTACACCTGCAAGGCTGCTTGCCTCATCATCAGCCGTTTTATTACAAAAATAGTTTTCCGTGTACACTGCAATTGGATAAAAACTACTTTAAGTAAAATGTATACGACTGGTATGTGTGTGTCAATGTTCAACAGATGCAGAGTTTTACAGTGTAGTGGAAAGGTGGATTCCTTGTAGAAAGCAATATTGATAAAGAGTCAAGTATTATAAAAGGTAGGCGAGAAAAAGAAAACTCAGAAGAAAGAAGTGAATTCTTAGTGAATCTGTGAAAGAGGGAAGACTCTGTTTTCAATTGAGGGATCACCTACCTGTCAGGTACAGCGGACGCTGTTCAGGTGTTCTCTGATAGGCCTGAAGGATGGAATATAGAAAACAAATTACAGATTGGCTAAACTAAAATTTAAATGTACCTAAAATATTACAAATAAAAAAGAATAAAACTTTTCAAGCATTTGCTACAAAAGGTTGACGTTTGTACCAAAAAGAATTCATTAAAAGGATTGAAAATCACTCCATTGCAGAGGATATAAATGTAAAGTGGAAAGAGCCAAAAATATTGGCAAATTGGCAAATGTTTTGAGAAAGAAACACACTTTGTAGGGCAGGGGACAGTAAATGCCATTTGGCTGGATGCATAGAATTTTGTGAAAATAGTCATAACCGGGTCGTTCCATTTCCAGAATATTAGCATGGAGTACTAAGGACGTAAAAGGCATCAATCTTGTTTTGATTGTTTATTCACCAGTATTTTTTGAGCACTCACTGTATATGAGACTTTTGAGCTAGTGGCAAAGGCTGTTGTCACTAGCAAGAAAGATAAAGGTACAGCCTGATGGAGCTTTGACTGATAAGGGCTGACATTAAGCATTTAAATCCAGAATAATTATTTTTATACAGCTACAATAAGCATTAAGAAGGAGAAAGGGTATGAGTCCACGTAGTTGGGACAGCTGGCTTATACTACCACACCTGGCTAATTTTTCTATTTTTAGTAAAGACAGAAACTCACTTTTGCTCAGGCTGGTCTCGAACTCTTGAGCTCAAGAGATCCTCCTGCCTTGGCCTTCCAGAGGGCTAGGATTGCAGATGTGAGCTGCCCCCCTCATCCCGTGTATTTTTCAAATCTGGATGAAACATACTACTGCCTTCATAGCAAAGATGGTCATAAAGATAAATACTCATATGTACAGAAGTCACAAAAGATAAAACTATTCACAGAAAGAACAGCATCTTTATCATGGATTAACTTAGATAATTTGTCTTGAGTTTGCTAATCAAAGGCTACACCTGTTATGAGAACATGCTGTGACCTAGTGAAAGAGCTGCCTTACCAGGGAGTCGGGACTTCTCAGGTTCTGAGTGTGTGTGTATTCTGCTTTGCTTGTTCAGCAACAAGACTCTGTGATGATGAAGAAGCCACACACCACTGAAGAGACTGGCATGCCCATTTCTAGGAATGGCTCTGGGCCCGTCCTGAAGTCACAGAACGGATGTGTTCTCCCAAAGCTGCCTATGGGGGCCCCTTCCCCCAAACTGTCCCAAACACCCACACATATGCCGACCATCCTGGATGAGCCTGGAAAGAAGGTGAAGAAGTCGGTACCCCTGCACTTTACCCCATCCTTCAAAACTTCTCAGGGGCCATCTAGTGCCAGCATCTTGAGCAGCAGCAAATCTGGGAGCCGAAAGCCCGGCTCCTGGGACAGGGATGCCCACTCTACCTCACCTAAGTTCCTGGCCAAAGCCACTGCCAATGGGCATGGGCCGAAGGGGAGCGATGAGAGCTCTGACCCTGAGAGGGGGAATTCTAGCAGCTCCAGCCCGGAACATAATGCCAGCAGCGACTCTGCCAAGGGCTCCCAGACCCCGAAGAGTGGAGCTGCCCATTTCTGTGATTCTCAGGAAACAAACTATTCTGCCAATGGTCACTCCAAAGCCCTGCCAAATGGAGCAGATGCAAAGATGGTGAAGCCGAAGTCCCCTGTCCTGGGCAGCGCTGCACCCGAGCCTGCAAGCATCATGTCTCCTCCACCAGCCAAGAAACTGGCTCTTTCTGCCAAGAAGGTGGGTGTGTGGGGGTCTTGTTGCTGGAAGGTGTCAGTAGGGCTCAGGGTAGTTTCGATTATACTTTGGGAGCCTGGGAACGTTGTCCAGAGGCTTTGGCCTTCCTTATTCCAGAGGAACAAAGTATCTTGCAGACATTTCTGGCCATTTGTAGGTCACAAAAGGGCTATTTGGGGTGAAAGTGGTTGAGGTTTTCAGGGAGCCCTGACAATCCAGTAGTAGTTCATGTGGCTCGTGGAGGTTTGGGCAAAGATTGCAGCTCCCTAATTTTGTAGACAGGAATGTCCTAATAGCCCCAGGAGGAGAGTGGGGCCCTACCAGGCCACATCTAGCTAGGTACATGGGGCTGGTGGGCACCTCCATAGCAGGAAGCTGGCAAGATGGCAGTGACATGAGGATGTAATTAATTGTCTTGCTGAGAGCTTTGTTTAAATTTCCTTCCTTTTTTCCTTTTTGTTTCTAACCAAAAACACTTTTCTGATTCTTCTTCTACCCTTCCCCCACCCCTCACCACCCCCTTTTTGTCCTCCTCCTGTTCCTCATCTTTTTTTCTGGGCTCTTTTATTTTTTATTTTTATTTTTTATTACTTTTACTTTCCCTCTTCACTCACGGAAACCTCTTTTAGACCACCAAGTTTTTATTTATGTCGATAACTGCAGGCCAGCACCCTGCGGAGGGCGACCAACAGTGACCTCTGTCCACCTCCCCCCTCACCATCCTCCGACCTCACCCACCCCATGAAAACCTCTCACCCCATCGTTGCCTCCACGTGGCCTGTCCATAAAATCAGGTAAGCTCTGGGCACATGCCCTCCTGGGTGCTAGCTTATTCTCCCTATGGGTGCAGGTTCTTGGCTAGAGAGGAGTCGGACAGCATGGCACTGGTGCAGAGGTGTAGGCTGGCCCAGAGCCCCCTCCTCTCTGTGCCCGGCTATAAAGGAGCTTGGGTCTGTCAGAGGCAGTTCATTCCGTCTCTGCAAACTTGACTTATTTATGCTGTCTTTATTTTTGTCTCTGTCACATCTGCATGATGACCTAGTGTGCTGTGTCCCCTCCAGGGTGTCTTGCCAGTGCATGACATGGCTTCCCACTCACATTCCCTGAGGCTCCTTCTGTCTTAGGTGGGGTCTGCCACAGGGCTGCTGAGCTCCCCACCCGGGGTTTCCGGGCTGTTCATGACGTGCTGGCAGACACCTCCGTCCCTATTGAGCTGTTGCTCAGAGAGTGCTTCGTGTCTTGGCTGTGGTGGGTGACAGGAAGTTGAGAGTCATTGATGGCTGTCTGGTGGCTAATGGGGCAGCCTTTGGTAGCTGAGGAGGAAGGAAGGAAGGAAGAGAAAAGGCACCTGGGAGATGGGTGGGACAATTTGACTTTGTCTTGCACTGCTGTGCTCTGAGCTCCTAGTGCACGAATCTGCTTCTCTCCAACACTGCAGTGGGCACTGCTTAGCTGGGTGTGTTCCCTCAGCCTCAGCCTCCTCTCTCTCTCTCAGACACACACACACTTCCCTCTCTCAGACACACGCATGCATGCACGCACCCATAGCATGGTATTTTTGCACATAGGACCTTCTTTAACATCTGAGACATTTATTAGGTACTTTTTCTTTGTTTCTTTGCCATATAACCTATTTTGAAAAATTTCCGGCTCGGTGCCTGTGGCTCAAGCAGCTAAGGCGCCAGCCACATACACCTAAGGTGGCAGGTTCGAATCCCCAGTCCGGGCCCGCCAAACAACAATGATGGC